CCTGCGGGCTCAGGCAATCCACTCACCTCAGTCTCCCAAGGTGCGGGATTACAGGCTGAGGCACCGAGCCCGGCTATATGTTTTTGAAGATACTCTTCCTGGTGGGATGCAGTGGCTCACTCCTGTAATCCCAGCACTTTGGGGAGGCCAAGGCAGGAGGATTGCTTGAGACCAGGATCTCAAGACCAGTCTGGGCAACATAGCAAGCTCTCTGTCTCTACCAAAAAAAAAAAATTTAACGAACCAGGTGTGATGACACAGGCCTGTCGTCCCAGCTACTCAGGAGACTGAGGAGGGTGGACCCTTCAAGGATACAGCGAGCAGTGATCATGCCACTGCATTTGTCTGGGTGACAGAGAGAGTAAAAAGACAGAAGAAAATACTCTGAATGGAAACAATAGTTCCTTTCCCCCCATATCTTGTCCTTTGGTTCCCTCAAATATAAGGATGTACCCGGAATTATTTGCCAACAGATAATGTGTATGCGATGGCCCTTACTCCTCCTCAGCCTTTCCCCACTCCCTTAACTCTTTAAGCTCAGCTACAGCTGAGAGGGGTGTGCATAGCCCCCGCCTACAGTGTGTTGATGGTTTCCAGATGAAATGCAATCCAAGAAAACTGCAGCCTATCGGAAGTGGCATGCTCTTCCCTTTACAAACCCACTCAGCTTATTTTCCACTTTCTTTTCCAATCTGTGTTGCTATAGTAATTCAGAGCCCAACCCCCAGGATATTGTTTGATGTCCCTTGTCCCCACTCTTCAACCCTGAATGCTGAGGCTGCAAGAAAGTGCCCCCACTCTAGACCCGAGTACATTGGCTTCTCTCCTGTTTAGTACTATTGCACACTCTACTTATGTAGCTCCTTGACTTATGGTTCGAAACACTTCCAGTTTGTCCCGAATAGCCAACTCTTTCTTTAAAAAGTCTACTGAATGTAAATTACCTACAGCTAGCATTCACTTGACCTTTACAGTCCTCAAAAATATAAATTATTCTCTCAAGTGGGAGCCTTTAGCTACTTATATAAGTCATTAATGCACACTAGCATTTACAATAATATGGATTCATAATGTAAAAAATGTATCAAACTTTTAAGAGATTGCATAACGCTTAAAGCAGAAGAAAAAATTTATTTTTAATTTCAAAAGGTGTTGGGATTTGATTTTTTATTAAAAAAGAGTTGAAAGAAAATAATTTAAAAAAATGAAATAGCTTATTTTGAGCAGAAGCTGATGCAGGGTCGTCACACTGATCACAGCAGGCCTTCTGGTCACACAGGCTTGTCTCCTGGGACGGCAGGGCTGTCTACAGCTTCTGAATCAGCATAGCAGAAGCACCGCCTCCTCCATTACAGATACTGGCAAGACCATATTCGCCTTGCTTCAAGGCATGAGTCAAGTGAACAACGATCCTAGCTCCAGACATCCTAGGGTTAAGAAAAGATTTGGGTTCTTTAATCCAGTACAGAACTTATGACTAACCAAAATGTTTCTATTCCAAAGACACTCCTTCAAAAGCTTACTAGCCAGCGATTATAGCTGAATTAATGACTTAAGTTTGAGAAGCTTGCTTAAGGAAGGGTCAGGGCTCTTTCAAAAGCCCAAGCAAAGACTTTAGTCTTAAGTTAGTTTTCTTCTTCAGCATAAAACGCCATTTGGCTGGAAGCAACAGGTGTGACAGGTCTTCTGTGTTCAGTGTTGGAGGCTGTTTCTCAGAAATGGCCGTTGCCTTAATGAAGGGTGGGTGAGAGGAAAACAAACCAAAGCCGCGGGAATCATGAAGCAGTTTGAGTGTGGAGAGAAATGCAAAGGCAGCCATTCACCTAGACATCCCCTTCTTGAGAAATATACCTACCCAATCGGGTGCCCCAATGAAACGGCTCCTCCATTGATATTCACTTTTTGGGGATCGATTTCCAGCATTTTAATGTTTGCCAGCACAACCAGACTGAAGGCTTCATTGACTTCCCACATTGTAATGTCGTCTTTTTTCAATCCTGCATCTTTAAGAACCTAAAATTTATAAAAAGACAGGCAATGTTCAAGTGATTAACAGCCTCAACTTATTTTCGTTGTTTCCTTGAAAACTTCAATTTGATGTAACAGTTATTGAAATATGGGGATTTTGGGTTTTAGGTGGAAGGATCCCTTTCAGATTTTTATTTTAACTGCTCATCTTATTTCATCATAATTAAAAGAATTTTGTTTGTACCATCTTATGTCTATTTTGAGGAGACAGAAAAAATTTGATTTTCTTGAGCATTCCATGGACACTTGGAAATATGTCTCTATTTGGGGGTACATGATGTTTTGTATATTCTTCAGGCCCACTTTACTGATTGTATGTCGCTTAGTTCTATATTCTTGATCTGTGAAATGAAAGAGGTACGTTAGTTTTTACTATTAGGATGCTAATGTTTTTCTTTGCATTCCCTACAGGCTCTGCTTATAAAAGTTGCTGCCAAGCCGGGCTCAGTGGCTCAGCCTGTACCTGTAATCCCGCGCCTTGGGAGGCTGAGGTGAGTGGACTGCCTGAACCCACGGGTTCGAGACCCATCTGGGCAACTTGGCGAGACCTCATCTCTACAATAAATCAAAATGAGCCGGGCGTGGTAGCACATGCCTGTAGTTCCAGCTACTTGGAAAGCTGAGGCGGAAGGATCACCGGAGCCCAGATGTTGAGGCTGCGGTGCCCGGGAGCAGCCATTGCACTCCAGTCTGGGCAACAGAGTGAGACTCCAACTCAAAAAATAAAATAAAATAAAATAAAAGTTGCCGCGGGATTATTGGGGCACAGAATTTTTTCTTTTTTGAGTTGGAGTCTCACTCTGTCCACCCAGGCTGGAGTGCAGTGGCACGCTCACAGCCACCGCAGCCTCGACCTGCTGGGCTCCAGCGATCCTTCCACTTCAGCCAAGTAGCTGAAACTACAAGCGTGTGCTACCACACCCAGCTAATTTTTTATTTATTATAGAGAAGAGGTCTCACCATGTTGCCCAGACTGGTCTTGAACCTGTGGGCTCAGGTAATCCTCTTGCCTTGGCCTCCCAAAGTGCTGGGACTATAGCCTGGAGCCACCACAGATTTTTTTTATGTTAGAGGTGTAGGATCCAAGTGGGGTGACTGTTATAAGGAAGCTGCATGCAGGTGAAGTCTGGGCTTCCCGAGCTGGCCCTCCATCCTCCTGGTATAGGACCAGATACCCAGAGTGTTGCCACATGCCCCCTCCCTTCTGCACACCCTCCCCTAGCAGTGTCCAGCATCTGCCAATCTCCCCTCCCCTTGTGCTAGTGTGACCCACTTGAGTGAGAACGTGTATTCAGCTCTTTGTTTCCGTGATAGTTCACTTAGTATGAAGGTCTCCAGCTGCATCCAAGTTGCATCAAACATGAAACCCATGATTTTTTCTTCTTTATGGCAGTGTAATATTCCATCATGGTTATGCACATTTTCTTTATCCAGTTCACTTTTGATGGGCATATGGGTTGGTTCCGTATTTTGCCATTGTGAATAGTGCTGCAATAAACATGCATGTGCATGTATCTTTTTGGCAGAGCAATTCAAGTTTCTCTGGGCATTTTCCCAGAAGAGGTTGCTGTATTGTATGAAAGCTCGATTTTCGGTTTTGCAAAATCGTCACACTGCTTTTCCATAGAGACTCAGCGAGCTAACATTCCCACCAACAGTGTCGAAGTGTTCCCTTTTTCCTGCAGCTACTCCAGCACCTGTTGCTTTTTGCCTTGTTAATGACAGCCACCCTCACCGAAGTTAGGCGGCATCTCACTGTGGTTTGGGTTTGCATCTCTCTGATGATGAGTCGAGGCGACCTTTTTCTCATGTCTGTTGACTGCTGACTGCTCGTATGTCTTCCTTTGAGAAGGGGAAAAGATACATACTTGCAAGCTATATACCCAGACACATAGCTTGCAAATATGTATCTTTTCCCCTTCTGGGGGTTATCTCTGTACCCTCTTAATGGTTTCTTTTGCTGTGCAAAAGCTTTGGATAAGGTCCCACCTGTCTATCTTAGCTTTTGCTGCACTTGCTTTTGAGGACTTGGTCATGAATTCATTACCTACTCCAAAGTCCAGGAGGGTGTTTCCCACGTTTTCTTCTAAGATTTTTATAGTTTGAGGTCTTACATTTAGTCCTTGATCCATTTTGAACTGATTTTTGTATACAGTGATACGTAGGGGTCCAGTTTCATTCTTCCGCATGTGGCTAAACAGTTTTCCCAGCACCACTTGCTAAATATGGTTTCCTTTCCCCAGTGTTTATTATTGAAGGCTCGGTCAAAGATGAGTTGGCTTAAGGACTGTTTTTATTTCCAGAATCTCTGTCCTGATCTTTGTACCTATTTCTGAACCGATAGCAGGCCATCTTGATTATTATAGTCTTGTAATATAAAGTCACAAGTATGACACCTCCAGCTTTGTTCCTTTTGCTGAGGATCACTTTGCTTCCATATGAATTTCTTTTTTTGCTTCCATATGAATTTCTGTATTGTTTCTAGGTCTGTGAAGAATGATGTTGGCAATTTGATGGGTATTGCATTGAATCTATAGATTGCCTTGGGTAGGATGGACAATTTGACAATGTTGATTCTTCCAGTCCATGAGCATGGGATTTTTTTTCCATCTGTTTGTGTCATCTTTGATTTCTTTGAGCAGCATTTGGTACTTCTCTTTGTAAAGGTCTTTCACTGCTCTGGTTAGGCTGATGCCAAGGTATTTCATTTTTTTTGTGGCTATTGTGAACGGAATTGTGTTTTTATTTGTTTCACAGCCTGCTTGTTAGTGTACCAAAATGCAACTGTCTTTTGTGCACTGATTTTGTAACCCAAGATTTTACCAAAGTCATTTATCAGTGCAAGGAGGTTTTGACAGACTCCCTCGGGAGTCTACATATAGAAACATCATTTGCAGAGGGATAACTTCTTTTCCTATTTGGATACCCCTAATTTCTTTCCCGTGCCTGACTGCTCTGGCTAAGACTTCCAGTACTAGATTGAATAGGAGGGGTGAGAGTGGGAATCCTTGTCTTGTTCCACTTATTAGGGGGAATACTTCCAGCTTCTGCCCACTAAGCATGATGTTGGCTGCAGGTCTGTCCTTGATGGCTTTTATGTTTTGAGGAATGTTACTTCGATGCCGAGGTGTTGGAGGGTTTTTATCAAAAAGGGATGCTGCATATTATTGAATGCTTTTTCTGCATCTAATGAGATAATCATGTAGTTCTTGGTGTTTTTTGTTTTTTTTTTTTGAGTTGGAGTCTCACTGTCGCCCAGACTGGAGTGCAGTGGCCGCTCCCGGCCACCGCAGCCTCGGCCTGCTGGGCTCCGGCGATCCTTCCGCCTCAGCCTTCCAAATAGCTGGAACTACAGGCATGCGCTACCACACCCGGCTAATTTTTTTATTTATTGTAGAGATGAGGTCTTGCCAAGTTGCCCAGGTGGGTCTCAAACCCGCGGGCTCAGGCAATCCACTCACCTCAGCCTCCCAAAGCCGTGGGATTACAGGCTGAGCCACCAAGCCCAGCTTAGTTCTTGGTTTTTTAACTGTTAAGGTGTTGAACTATGTTTATAATCTTGAGAATGTTGAAGCAGCCTTGCATCCCAGGAATGAAGCCCACCTGGTCATGGTGGATAATCCTTGAAATGTGTTGTTAGATGCAATTTGCTAGACTCTTGTTGAAAATGTTTGCATCTGTGTTCATCAGGGAAAATGGACTTTAATTCTCTTTCCTTGTTGGGTCTTTGCCAGTCTGGGGTTTCAGAATATTAGCTTCGAAGAATGTGCTGAAATTTCTTCCTTCTCGAATGTCTGGAATACTTTCAATAGGGTTGGTATCAGCTATTCCTTGTATGTCTTGTAGAATTCCGTTGAGAAACTATCTGGTCCAGGGCTTGAGTTGATTTCCAAGATTGTTACTGATCTGTTTAGGGTTTCAATTTCTTCTTGTATCAACCTTGGGAGGTTGTGTGATGCCAGGAAATCCTCCATTTCCTCTTTTTTTGGTTTAATTGTATATAGATGTTCATAGTAATTTCTTCAGGGTCAGTTGTGACATTGGCTTCTTCATTTTTAATTGTGTTTATTTGGACTTTCTCTTTTTTTAGTCAGTTTGGCCAGGTGTATCTTATTTATCTTTCCAAAGAACTAGCCTTTTGTCTTGTTGATCCTTTTTTATATTTTGTCTTCTATTTCCTGCAACTTTATCTTAGTAATCTGGATTTTTCTACTGAAATTAGGATTTGTTCTTGTCTTTCCAGCTTCTTTACATATGACCTTAGGCTGTTTTCTTGTGAGCTCTCTATTTTCCTGATACATGCATGTAATGCTATGAAGTCCCTCATAACAGTGCTTTCATGGTATCCCAGAGGAGGCACAGGTATTTACATCGTTGTACCCTCACTGTAAATCACTCTTAGTGATTCATTATATGATCTGCTTTGTTTTGGTAATTCCTTGGTTATGCAGGAAGGTGGTTTTGTGCTAGTGATTATCCTTACACTAATACCTTTATAAAATATTAGTAGTGCCCTTTTTCTTTTGAGAAATTTTATTGTTGTGAGCACAATAAAATTAGCATGAGACTCTTCCTCCTTCTTCCTCTGTTCTATCAGCAGGCTCAGGTAGCTGTACAGCTCAAACAGCTTCCTCTGTTCCAACAGCACAGGACAAAAGTTGGCACCTAAATACAGCCACTTCGCTAGCTCTCCAAGTCTAGTCGAGGTCAGCTTCTGCTTTCAGCATCCAAGACTGTGTCTTACTCTTGCTTTCCAGTGTGACCCTTCCACCTCCAGAAGTTGTATATTTCTGCCACTGTCTGAGCTCTGCCAGCTCTGAATAGATCACCCCTCCCCCCCTTGTTTCTGATCCTTCCCTGCTCATTCTGCTCTTTAATGTGGGTGCTGCTCTCCAAGTTCACTCTCAGGGTGAGGTCCCGCTTGGAAGAGAATGTTTGCCGAAGACATCTGAGAGCGCTGAGCCCCCACGCCTCCTCAGCATTCTATTTTCCCGGGACCCCTTTCACAGACACCTGGCTACTTTGGCCTCGGATAGCACTTACTGGCAGCTTGAACTACACAGGTTTTCTGTCTCTAATTTTGCTGTTTAGGACCTGCTGCCAGCAGCTCCTTTTCAGGATGGAGGCCTCTCTTTCTGCGAGTGACTGTTTGCTTTGAATTCTAGATCTGGAACCACCGCCATTCCCTTTCCTTCGCTGCACTGGCCTCCCCTTTGTGGTCACCACCCCAGGTGGGTGAGTTCAGCACCACACTTACGAGTGTGCTATTATGTAGCTTTCACCTGTTTTCCTGAAGAGGCAGTTTGTGGGTTGCTCTTTTATTTTCTCTTATTTTTTTGTTTTGTTATCCTTGTTGCTCTTACTGTTTTCAGGAGAAGTAGTAAGATCTGAAACCAAGTTATCTCTCTGCTTTGGCAGATGAAGAACATTTAACATCTAAAAACTGCAACATCAGTATAACCACAACTGGCATACTGGAGTACGATCTTCACTTGGGTCTCACCTTAGGCACAGCATATGCAGGCGCAATTGGAAAATCAATAGGCTCTACGGCGGCATCAGCAAACGCTGTAAGAAACAAAACAGGTTGTTAAAATCTGTTTTACAAGCATACAAAGCTATATCTGTCATATATGAGGGGGAACGCAAAAGAAAGCTGGAATTTATTTCGAAGAAATTGTGTAATTAAGCTGGGTGTGGTAGCACATGCCTGTAGTTCCAGCTACTTGGAAATCTGAGGCAGAAGGGTTGCCTAAGCCCAGCAGGTCGAGGCGGTGGTGGCCGTGAGCGTGCCACTGCATTCCCCCCTGGGCAACAGTGAGACTCCAACTCAAAAAAAAAAAATTGTGTATTTATTCTTACATGTTTAAACATCGATCACCTTCAAAGTACTCTCTGTTTGATGCAATACACCTATTGAGATGCGTTTTCCACTGCTCAAAACAGTTTTTGAACTTGTCAATTTTGATGCCTTTTACTATTTCTGTCGGTTTTTTTGTTTCACCTCTTCCACATCAGCAAAATGTTTCACTTTGAGGACTTTTTTCATCCGGGGAAACCAAAAAAAGACGCTCAGGTTAAGACTGGGTGAATAGGGAGGGTGGAGCACAGGCGTCACACTGTTTTTTGTCAAAAACTATTGAACACTCAGTGTGGTGTGCGCAGGTGTGCTTGCAAATCACCCATCATGAAATGGGCAAATGCACTGAAAGAATCTCCAAAAAAAATTCACTGAAGCCAGGTGCGGTGGCTCACGCCTGTAATACCAGCACTCTGGGAGGCAGACTCGAGAGGATTGCCTGAGCCCATGGGTTTGAGATCAGCTGGGCAACCTAATGAGACCTCGTCTCTACAATAAAACAAAAAGTTAGCTGGTCATGGTGGCACATGTCTGTAGTTCTAGCTACTTGGAAGGCTGAAGCAGAAGGATTGCCTGAGCTCAGCAGGTCAAGGCTACAGTGGCCATGAGTGTGCCACTGCACTCCAGGCTGGGTGACAGAGTGAGAATCTGACTCAAAAAAAAAAAAAAAAAATTCACTGAAGCAGAACACAGCCTCTGACAGTAACACTAGCTGGTACACTGATGCTGACAGATTACTAGAACACTTACCTAGCAGGGGAAGCCAGTACTATAAGAGACCCACCCTACAAAATATAATTCCAGTTTTTTGGGGGGTCCCTCTCATATAGTATGCAAAAGCCAGCTTAATCCATTAAATGCACATTTCCTGACTCCTTACAATACTATATGTAAATATATGTGTTGCTTTTCTAAGATATACTTTATAAAATTATACCAATCATCTAAGATATGGATTTCTGTTGGGAGGAGTCTGGGGGGAATTTGTCGCTAGGGACATTGGCTCTGTCTAGAGATACTTTTGGTTGTCAAAACAGGTGGGAAGTCACTGGCATCTAGTGGGTAAAGGCTGAACATCCTGTGGTACACAGAACAGGTCCTACAACAGAGATTGAGGGCAAAGTGTCAGTAGTGCTGAAGTTAAGAAGCCATGAAAAAAATGGAAGTCATACGATTTTTATGAAGTAACAACATGGCATCCGTTCAAGTCCTTATGAAGAAGGCAAGGCAGATTTTGCAGCTAAAAACAGGCTTAAAGAGACTGAGGGCTTGCCCAAGGCCATATAGTTAACAAAAGCAAGACTTAGTATTTCTAAACTCTTAATCCCATATTTTTTTATTCTACCTGGCTGCTTCTATGGGATAAAGCACCATATTTTCTTTTCTTTTCTTTTTTTTTGTGAGTTGGAGTCTCACTGTTGCCAGGCTGGAGTGCAGTGGCATGCTCACGGCCACCACAGCCTCGACCTGCTGGGCTCAGGTGAACCCTCCGCTTTAGCCTTCCAAGAAGCTGGAAGTACACTTGCGTGCCACCCACCTGGCTCATTTTTTAATTTATTGTGGGACAAGGTCTTGCCAAGTTGCCCAGGCTGGTTTTGAACCCCTGGGCTCAGGCAATCCTCTCACCTCGGCCTCCCAAAATGCTGGGATTATAGGCTTGAGCCACTGCATGCGGGCAGGAAAAGTTTTTTAAAGCTTACTCATATAAAGCAAATTATAACAAAAATACTAAAGGAGTTTCCATTTCAACTGAAATATGTCTCAGTTAAATTCTGTCAAAAAGTAGAATCTATATATAGAAATAGCCAACACTCCAGTATCATGTACTAAGATTGGAAACTCAATCTCAGGAAGTGCTTCTAGATGTTTCAGGGATAAACGAGGTGGGAACATTCTCTGCCTGCTATTCTCACCTGCTATTCTTGCCAGCGGTTTAACATTGAGCCTCCTGGCTGCCTCAGCCGTCATCAGCACCACTGCGGCTGCACCGTCATTCAGTGTGCTGGCGTTGGCAGCTGTCACTGTGCCTGAAAGCCATGAGACGAAATCAGAGCAGTCCTTCAACTGAATTCGTTCGGGTCAATTTAACAGATACCTACAGAGAATTGCCTGCCGGGTTAAATGTGCAAAGAAATCACAAATCTGGATGGAAATAATTCCTGCCCTCAGGAAATGTGTTCACAGCCATCTGTGACACACGGAATGTAAGAATGTCTTTCTGTGCTCAATTTTAGTAACAGTTTTCTCCAAGCTAGCTCAGAACACATGGGTGACGGCAGTGGGTAAATGCTAGTCTACAACTCTTCAAAGATAAGGACAAGTTCATCTTTTTCTCTCCAGAGTGTTACTCTTTGCTATTCAAAATGTAGCAGACACTCACTATATGTTTTTCAAATCAGTGTCAGATCAGCTGTTTCTTGTCTAGAATCACTTGGAGTAAATGTCAATACTAAAAACCACTGAATCACTTTAAACAGGAGAATTTTATGGCATATAAATTATGTCAATACAGCTGCTTTTTTAAATGTCAATAAAGTCTCCATAATAGTTTCTACACATGAAAAGCAGAATTCTGTAGTCATGCTTACAATCTCTTCTCTAGGATTTATTTACTAAAGGAATAAACTGTTAAACAATTTTAAACATACTTTGAATTAATTTTATTTGAAGCATATATTAAAAAGGCTAAAAAAAAATCACCTAGATGTTTCTAGAATTACTTTCTTTAAATCCTTAGGCAATTCCAAAAATAGGTAGGTATACTGACTCAATTTTTTCTTATGCTTTCTTTTTTAACACTCACCATTTTCTTTTTGGAAAACTGTCTTCAGCTTTGGAACTTTGCTAAAATCAACACGTTTATATTCTTCGTCTTCTTTCACCACTACATCCGGTTTACCTAAAACAAAAATATTGCGAGCAATTTCCACTCAAGACAACAATGAGTCGTTCAACAAAAAACTGTTACACAAGCTGCCTGGTAGTCTGTGCCTCCCTTGGTAAACCCGCTACCTTAGCCTGTCCCAAGTAAACACTCATCTAGAATCTACCATCTATAGTCTCTTACTATGTTAGTGTCTTGAAAGAGTTGATTAAGTAGCTTGACAAAATTTAAACCTACACATCCATACCCCATTCTCTTCTCTCTCAACCCCCTTCTGTGATCACAGACCCCCTCCTCTGGCCCCAGGGGTAGAGATCCGACCGACGCTGGATGAACGCTCCTATTCTGTCATCCAGAGCACAGCAGCCGTTCCTGAAGGAGAATGTAACCTAGCCGAGCTCATGGTCTACTGCGGATTTATTCTGCTGGAATTGGTGAGGTCTCTCTCCTCTTTAATCGGGGCCCTAGAGACGGAGGCAGCAGGGCCAGACGGTCAAGGAAACACAGCCCAGAAGCGGCCGGGCGTGGCGGCTCATGCCGGCAGTCCTAGCACTCTAGGAGGCCGAGGTGAGAGAGGAGTGCCTCAACCCATGGGTTCAAGACCAGCCTGGGCAACTTGGCGGGACCTCATCTCTACCATAAATCAAAAAGTTAGCCATGTGTGGTGGTGCGGGCCTGAAGTTCCGGCTACTGGGAAGGCTGAGGCAGAAGGATCGCCGGAGCCCAGCAGGTCGAGGCTGCGGTGGCCATGAGTGTGCCACTGCCCTAATAGTGTTGAATACCCACTTCCAATCCCTGAAGCTCCCAGAGCTGACTGCTTGCTGCTGTTCAGCCTTCAACACAGCAGCCTTCTAATCCCTTGTTCACTTCAGCTACTGGGTTGTCTGTCACTTATATAAGAAATGAGAGGCTGGGCTCGGTGGCTCAGCCTGTAATCCCAGCACTTTGGGAGGCTGAGGTGAGTGGACTTCCTAAGCCTGCGGGTTTGAGACCCACCCAGGCAACTTGGCGAGACCTCGTCTCTACACTACATCAAAAATGAGCCAGGCGTGGTAGCGCACACCTATAGTTCCGGCTTCTTGGAAGGCTGAGGCAGAAGGATCACCTGAACCCAGCAGGTCGAGGCTGTGGTGGTCGGGAGCGTGTCACTGCACTCCAGTCTGGCGACAGAGTGAGACTCCAACTCAAAAAAAAAAAAAAATGAGAAAGAGTGCTAATATATTTCAAATTTAAAATAATATGCTTAGTGGATCTTAACTGAAATCTCACATTATTAATTGGGTTGAAATGAGCCAGGCACAGTGGCTCATGCCGAGGTGGGAGGATCTCTTGAGCTTAGGAGTTCAAGACCAGCCTGGGCAACATGACAAGACCCCGCCTCTACAAAAAAAATTTTGTTGTTGTTTTTGTTTTTTGTTTGTTTGTTTTTTTGAGTTGGAGTCTCACTCTGTCACCCAGACTGGAGTGCAGTGGCCACTCCCGGCCACCACAGCCTCGACCTGCTGGGCTCCGGAGATCCTTCTGCCTCAGACTTCCAAGTAGCTGGAATTACAGGCATGCGCTACCACGCCCAGCTGATTTTTTGATTTATTGTAGAGATGAGGTCTCACTGTCCAGGCGGGTCTCGAACCAGTGGGCTCAGGCAATCCACTCACCTCAGCCTCCCAAGGCACGGGATTATAGGCTAAGCCACCAAGCCCGGCTACAAAAAATTTTTTTAAAAAATAGCCAAGGTGTGGTAGTGCACACCTGTAGACCCACCAACTCAGGAGGCTGAAGCAGGAGGACTGCCTGAGCCCAGGAGGTCGAGGCTGCAGTGAGCCATGATCACACCACAGCACTCCAGCCTGAGCAACAGAATAAGACTCAAAAAAAAAATCGAATTGAAATATGTTATCTCTAATCTGGCAACTCTTCACTTTACTAACCACAAACAGAGGTATAAATGTCTTCTGGTGAAATGAACAAAGATAATAATGTACTAATTTAAAACTTTAAAAATTCAACAACATGTAAAGTCAATGAAAAATTCAGATGTTTTAGAATATCATCTCTCTACCTTTTACTGCAATTGTGACGGGAATAACTTCGTTTCCAAATTTTCCAGCTTCCCATGCTGCTTTACTTCTGGTGTAAGAGTTAATCGCATAAGTATCCTGTTCATCTCGTGCAATATTCAGCTTCTTCGCTGTATTCTCAGCACAGTTGCCCTGATAAAAGTTGGAATATTGTAAGCCTCATTCACTTTGTATAACTTACAAAATAATGGTTAGCAGTTAAGTTTGTTCTTTTTTTTTTTTTATTGTAGAGATGAGGTCTCGCCAAGTTGCCTGAGCTGGTCTCGAACCCGCGGGCTCAGCCAATCCACTCACCTCAGCCTCCCAAAGTGCTGGGATGACAGGCTGAGCCACCGAGCCCAGCCAAGTTTGTCCTTAAAATATACATCCTTCTATACTAGGTAACTTCTCACCCATGGCTTATCTTGAGATATTTGAGTTAGCCCAGAGTTGCTATTTAAGAAGCCAAAAAGTGCCCTATTCATGTGTGGGGCAATTTCTTTAACAACGGAGCCATGCTGATAAACAGGCATAGGAAGATATTTTCCTAAAATGAGTGGCTCAGATCAATACCTGCAGAGCCCCTCTTGAGTTCTGTTGGTAAATTACACACGTTAAGAAAAACCAGGCAGTACTCGACGTGAGCTAGCATGTCTCCCCTGAAGGGGAACACTCACCATGTGGATTCTATTGTAGACATCGGTGAGCCCGTCTTTCACGATCAGATCTTCCAGCTTCACGCCACCGTATGGTGTTGCTCCTCTGTTCATGACGTACGGAACGTTGGACATGCTCTCCATCCCACCTGCCACCATCACGTCCTGTTCAGCAGCACAGAAAACCCAGTGTCCACTCAAAAGGTGGCCATCTCGTTACAGGCTTTACGCAGCTGCCAAGGCACTCTACATGGAAAACGTGCTACACAGGGAATAGAGGAAGTGCCCTGTTTCCCACTTGACCCTGATGGAAAGAAACAATCTCAACTGGGTACTGAGAATTAAGAATAATGCCAGAGCCAGGCTCGGTGGCTCAGCCTATAATCCCACGCCTTGGGAGGCTGAGGTGAGTGGATTGCCTGAGCTCGCGGGTTCAAGACCTACCCGGGCAACTTGGCGAGACCTCATCTCTACAATAAATCAAAAAAGTAGCCGGGTGTGGTAGCGCTCGACTGTTGTTTCAGCTATTCAGAAGGCTGAGGCAGAAGGATCGCTGGAGCCCAGCGGGTCAAGGCTGCAGTGGCTGGGAGCGGCCACTGCACTCCAGTCTGGGTGACAGAGTGAGACTCCAGCTCAAAAAAAAAAAAAAGAAGAAGAAGAATGCCAGAGGCCAGGCTCAGTGGCTCGGTCTGCAATCCCAGCACTTTGGGAGGCCAAGGCAGGTGCACAGTCTGAGCCCGTGGGTTCAAGACCAGCGTGGGCAACTTGGCGAGACCTCGTCTCTGCAATAAATCCAAAAAAAATAGCCAGGCATGGTAGTATGCATCTGTAGTTCCGGCTCCTTGGAAGGCTGAAGCGGAAGGATCACCGGAGCTCAGCAGGTCAATGCTGGGGTGGCCATGAGTGTGCCACTGCACTCCAGTCTGAGCAACAGAGTGAGACTCCAACTCAAAATAAATACATTAATCATAAATGTAAAAAATTGCCAGAAATCTTTCATGTAAGACCATTTTCTCAAAGTCTTACCTTCTAACCCTTCATTTCATTCCCACTGCTAAAAGTGTCATTTCTTCTCAAAGATTACGAGTAGTCTTGGTTCATGGCAATAGTCCTTCTGCTTCCTTGATTGAGATCCTCACCAACTCTTCCCAGACAGCTGTAATAACTTTCCACTTGGTCTTCTGACAAGGAGCCTCTCCTACCCAGGATCTCTGCTCTGAGTCATTCTGGCTGGAGCAAGTATGACCGTGTCACACCTGACAGAGCTCCTCAGCTGGTGTAGGAAGCGCTTTACCATCTGCCTTCTCTCTCCCCGTCAGTCCCAGTGCCTGGACCCCAGGTCACACGGGTCTGGTTAAGGCCTCCAGGGACACCATGTGCATTCACACACATCCACATCTGCCCTATCCCCCTGGTAAGACTCGTTCATTTCCTTTAAAACAAGTCAAAACCCAGCCACTTCGTGTTTCCCCTGGCCACTTATTTCTAGGCCTTCTGTGTTTCCCAAAACTATCCAATGCTTTCGTTAATGTCGTTACCCTGTATTGTAGCTACGTTTCTATGTCAGACTTTCTCACTGGGCTAAGATCCTTTGAGGCCAGAAACCCTGTCATACTTTTATGTTCTCAGCAACCGGCATACTGAAGTTTAATAAATATTAATCAATTAACCTATTACTTTACAAGTCAACAAAAGACACTCACTTCTTAATTATAACTGATTAAAATGTATAAATACTCATTTAAAAATACTTTAACATGCAACATTAAACATAAAATTAGGACCAGATGCAGTGGCTCAAGCCTGTCATTCCAGCACTTTGGGAGGCTGAGGCAAGAGGACTGCCTGAACCCAGGGGTTCGAGAGCAGCCTGGGCAACCTGGCAAGAACTTGTCTCTGCAATAAATAAAAAAATTAGCCGGGCATGGTGGTGCGCGCCTATAGTACCAGCTACTTGGAACGCTGAGGCAGAAGGATTGTCTGAGCCCTGCAGGTCGAGGCTACGGCAGCCATGAGCATGCCACTGCACTCCAGCCTGGGCAACACAGTGAGACACCAACTCAAAAAATAAATAAATAAACAAACACATAAAATTAAAGCTAATGATATCTTCTCAAGGTCTTTAATCGGAAATAAAAACAAATTCTGTACCTAAATATCTTGCCTATTCTGAAATATAGGATTCTTAATTAGTTCTCAACTAAGTTTTATTTAATTATCTTGAAATAATTCCTGGGGATAATGACAATAACAAGTGACAGAAAATAAGGTATCTACTATTCTTCATTATAAAATAAATACGATCGTTTTCCAAAATCATAATTAAATATTCAAAACAAGGCATTTCCTAGTACGCCTGTAAGTCACTATATACATGCACACATGAATCAAGAAATGCTGAGAGTATTTCAATGTAGCACAGATAGCATTTGCTAGAGAATCACAATAAAAAGACAAAACTTCCCTTGTCATTCAGACGACTTTGAAACATCTAACCATCTCAAAACCATTCCACTCACTAGCTTGACAAGGACATTCCACCACGTGATGCGGATGGGGACGGAGGCTCACACAACTTTTGGAAAGTGTAACTGGTACAATTTTTATGGAAAGAATTTGAAAATGCCAAAATTTTAAAATCCTCTGACTCAGCAATTCTTTTAGGAATGTTTCCAACAGCGCCTTGCACGCAAAGAGATGTTTCAACATTTCAGTCAACACTCTTATCTCCAGGAACTGTCACGTAGTAGATGCTCAATTAGTAAGGGGCAGAACCAGAATTTGACTTTAGTCTGGCTTCGGATTTTGTGTTCTTAACCACGATGCTGTACTGTCTGTGAAGCTGAATTAAGTATAAGTACACAAAGATAGATCTACAAGTATCTATGTCTACAGGTATACATAAATATATCCGCAGCATTATTCAAAATAGTAAAGGACGGAGCACAGTGGCTCGTGCCTATAATCTCAATACTTTGAGGGGGCAAGGCAGGAGGAATGCTCGAGCCCAAGAGTTAGAGACTAGCCTGGGCAGCACAGCAAGACCCTGTGTCTATAAAAATTTAAAAATTAGCCAGCATAGTGTGTGCACCTGTAGCCTCAGCTACTCAGGAGGCTGAAGCGGGAGGATCACTTGAGCCCAGGCGTTTGAGGCTGCAGGACCTATGATCAAACCACTGTAGTCCAGCCTGGGCAACAGAGCGAGACACCTCACCGCTCAAAAAATAAATCGTGGAGAACTGGCGACAACCTAGAAGTCCATTCAGTAAGGACCTGTAGAATGTACTGTGGTTGTTCAGTTCAGCATGCCAGCGTTACACCCTGGCTAGAATGCACCAGACAGGGACACAGACACGTCTTCTCAAATGTGCTAAGAGAGAAAGCTCTCAGAGACATTAAGTGGAACACAGAGAAGAGAAGCAACTTGCTCAAACTTTCTGTGCTCCTAAGTGGCAGATGCCACGCTGGTGAATGAGTGAGCCACGCAGAGGGGAGTGAGAAGAAAGAAGACTTATTTTTCACTTTATAGCTTTCTATACCATTTGATGTTCTTAGTATATGCATAAGAAAAGTGTATTACTTTTATAATAAAATATCTGGTACACTGGCTCAGATATCACTCCATCTACTTTCCCCCCTTCACTTTGGTTTGTCTTTTTTTTTTTTTGAGTCAGAGTCTCACTCTGTTGCCCAAGCTGGAGTACAGTGGCACACTTGTGGCCACCACAGCCTCGACTGCTAGGTTCAGGCAATCCTTCCACCTTAGCCTTCCAAGTAGCTGGAACTACAGGCACGCACTACCATGCCCGGCTTATTTTTTCATTTATTGTAGAGACGAGGTCTCATTGAGTTGCCCAGGTTGGTCTCAAATCCCTGAGCTTATGCAATCCTCTCGTCTCAGCCTCCCAAAGTGCTGGGATTATAGGCTTGAGCCTAGCCAGTTTGCCTTCTAATTAGAAACAAAGGCAGGAATAACAGCAAAGAGTACAAATAATTGTGGTCCTTGTATCTGTAAGAAATAACTTATTTTTATTTGATTTGATTGTTTTGAGACCAGGTCTTGCTATGTTGCCAGGCTGGTCTTGAACTCCTGGGCTTCATATATCCTTCCACCTCAGCCTTGAGTAGTGAGGACTACAGGCATACCACTATGTCCACCTATATAAGAAACAATCTGCAAATACCTCGCAAATGCAACACACCTGTTACACCTGGCTAGGATGCACTATACAGGGATGCAGACATATCTTCTCATTTCAGTCTTCTAACTTTGTGGCTGTCTCTGTCTCGTTTTCCTCGTCTGAAATGAAGGGCTCAGATCTGAATCTCAGTTCTGTGAGTCTAGGTCTAGTCTCCTGACAGCATGACATATATTTGCTGAGCAGCCTAGCTCTTGCCCAGTCTCAGGTGAAGACAAAGTCGACACCATCAAGGTCGAGAGAAAGCCTGCCTCGCTTGACAAGTGAATCTGGTCATTGCCGAGCTATAAATGAGTCATCAGGCCTGGTCGCTGACTTGACTCCCAGGGTTACCAGCTTGGTCTCCTTCCTAGTGAAAACCCTTCCTATGCTGGAAAATACAAAATGTATGATGTTTAATATCACCCAGTCTCAGAGAAAGACAAGAGTCTTTCCCGGAACTAAAACACCCTGGCTGAGAACCACTTTTGAAAAGTAGTTTAAGGCACCTGGGCTCTCATTTTGACCTATACTTCCGACGGAGTTAGCACATCCAGACACTCCTGCGTGTCTGAGACAACATAGCAACTTGACTTATGAGAAAGGTTCTCACTTCTAAATCTGTGCTCAGACTTTCAGGGTCTTTTGGCATTGGGTATTCTTTTACGTAATAAAAGAAAAGAAAGTGCTTCTTACCTGATGTCCACACATAAGATTTTGAGAGGCCATCATGATGGCTTTCATTCCCGACGCACATACTTTGTTTATGGTGGTGCATGGGGTAGAAGTTGGTAAGCCTAAAACCAATATAAGTCATACTTTTGAAAAACAGAGATGCTCACTTTTCAAACAAAAACCGCAGAATTAAAATGAAAAGAATTGAGCATGTTACTGTAATCTGTAACATTTCTTCTGCCAATATGTCTATAAATTGCATACGCATTTAGTATTTCAGCGGAAGTGGCCACCATTTTGCCACTGCACACATGGTCAGTTTGATAACAGCAGACACACGCTCAGCATACCTGCACCCAGCACTGCCTGCCTCGTGGGGGCCTGGCCTTCACCTCCTTGCAGGACGTTACCCATGTACGCCTCTTTCACTTCTTCTTTTGGAATCCCTTTTTTAAAAAAATGCCAAAAGACATTTCCATATTTTATTCATTTTAACAGTGATCATCTAGTAAAATACATGACATGACATGACATGACATAGTAGGTATGGTTTATTTTTCCGTCAGTTTTGAGTTGCAATCCAAGCCCTGTGGTACAAAGACTTCTTTCCAGGGAATTCAGAAATGTACGCATTAAGCCATTTACTTCATTTTATTTTATTTTTTGAGTTGGAGTCTCACTCCATCGCCCAAGCTAGAGTGCAGCAGCACACTCACGGCCACGCCAGCGTCAAGCCTCTGGGCTCCAGTGATCCTTCCACCACAGTCTTCCAAGTAGCTGGAACTACAGACGTGTGCTACTACATCCGGCTATTTTTTATTTTATTGTAGAGACGAGGTCTTGCCAACCTGCCTGGGCGGGTCTCGAACCCGCGGCCTCAGGCAATCCACTCGCCTCGGCCTGCCAAAGTGCTGGGATTACAGGCAGAGCCATCGAGTCCAGTCATTAAGTCATTTCTAAGTGTCAGGTATACAGTGAGTGCAAAATATGTGCTCCACCCAATCATTCTGCACAACACCAGAAGCTAAGCTACTGACCTGCCTTTTCAATGGCTTCCTGAATGGCAATGGAGCCAAGCTTTGTGGCCGGCAGTGAGGAGAGGCTTCCGAGGAAGGACCCGATGGGCGTTCTCACAGCGCTTACTATGACCACTTCCTGGCAAGAAAAAAGATGGTAAAAATTACAAGGGGCACTTTGCACGCATCAACCTTCACTAAAGAAACATAGTTCATCAATATATGATCTAAGAAACATTATTTTATGACTAATTAATTATCAAAGATTAAAATAATCTCAATCCTTAAACAGCTGTGAAACTAATCAGGTCACTGCTGTGATTATTATTCAGACCTAACAGAAAACCTAAGTTGAACCACCCCTAAAACAGACACAGGCTCTTCCCAGCTCTCCACAGGAGGTTTAAGGGAAGCTTAAGTTTCAATTCTATTCTTCAGTCAAAAATTTAAGAAATGGTCACTGTATCCTTGTCAGCTGCACAATAAACAACTCTAACCAAGAGGGCCCCTTTCGGAGGGGAACTCAGAGCTCAGTCCTTGATGATGGCATGCCACTTCACTAAGACGCAGCCAGAGCCATATTTCTTATACAAGACAATTACAACATGCAAACCAAGAAGGAGATCAAGGTTTATTTGAATACTATAAAACACCACTGGAACAATTCTTTCCTTACACTGTCTTCCACAATCTCCTATTAGGCTGAAGAGAAGAGAACTGTTGCCTAGATTTTGATGGGAAGATATTACGAAGTCACTCTGTGACCCTTACAAAACAAAGAAAGGATCCCTTAGAAGGTACAAATGAGGTGATGGCGTGATGGCCCTCGTCTAATTCCCAGCTGCTCAGTCCCTGTCGTTCCAGGCTCTTTCAGGTGGCCTCCATGCTGCACCACACACAACATACCAGGGTCTCTGACAGTGAAGGAAGAACCCACCCAGTGTCAAAAGGAAGGCTGTTTTGCAGCAGACTGTGAGAAGCAGCAGGAACCATGCAGGGAACTGAAATTTCTGAAGGCAATCTACGTCACAACTTAATATTTGGATTCCTGACCATGGCATAAAATTCCGCTTGGCTTTCTTTCACATATACCCATAGCATAAGTATATGCATTTCTATAGACTACGTTTCCTTTACATTCTTAAAATTTTAAAGCACAATTTACAGTCATACTTACATTCAAAGTGGGTTTTGAGACATAACTTCGCTCCACAAATCTCATTTCCTGTAATATAAATATTTATAATGTTATAATGGGAAAAAATGAATCTACATGTTATACTTCTCAATGATGGGGTTGGTGAGTTCTTCCTGCGTCTTTCTGCTTTTATTTCAAGTTTTCCAGTCAGTGTACATCACTTTTAGAACTCAGAAAAATATGACTACTTTGCAATAAACTTTTCTGATTAACTACACACTAGAAATGGGTTTTAACTTCTCATGAGTTTATTATCCTAAAATTTCTAAGTCTTTTCTAAGTATACACTTTCCAAAATGCAGTTGTGAGTTAAATCTAAGCTCTTTTTTTTTTTTGAGTTGGAGTCTCACTCCATCGCCTAGAAAATAGTGCAATAGCACACTCATGGCCGCCCCAGCGTCAACCCACTGGACTCTGGCAATCCTTCTGCCTCAGCCTTTTAAGTAGCCGGAACTACAGGTGCGCGCTACTACAGCCGGCTAACTTTTTGATTTACTGTAGAGACGAGGTCTCGCCAAGTTGCCCAGGCTGGTCTCAAGCCCGTGGGCTCAAGCAATTCACTTGCCTCAGCCTCCCAAAGCGCTGGGGTTACAGGCTGAGCCACCAAGCCTGGCCAAATCGAAGTTCTAAAGTAATCTTAGAGTCTCACAAATGTCCTTGCATTGCTTAAAATTTATTTATTTATTTTTTAGCTGATAAGAATGTATTAAGGATAATTTACTCATGGTCCACTTCTCTGAAAGGACCTGAGATGACATTCCATAAGCTTAAAATAAATAAATTTTTTAAAAAACTCCAACTCAAAAAATTAAAAATAAATAAAAAGAGATTAAAGTAGGAATTGGAGGAGAGAAAACCAGAGTAAACTCAAACCTGTGTTACCCTGAATGCAAAATTGGGTCTGAGCTCCTTGATGACCAAGATAGAGTGGAGCCATTCACTGATTTTTTTAATGTTTGATATGTAATTTTTTTTAAAGCTTTGTGTTTTCTTTTTGTTCTAGCGTTGTGGGGTGCCTGTGAAGGTTTACGACTTAGGTAAATTGCGGCAGGTGTGGGCTTCTCAGGGCCCTCTCTTCCCTCCCGACAGGGCCGGCGAGGGCTGTCTGGCCCTGATCCCTCCTCCTTCCCTCCTTCAAAACTTTTTTTTTTTTTTTTTTTTGAGTTGGAGTCTCACTCTGTCACCCAGACTGGAGTGCAGTGGCAGCTCCCCGCCACCGCAGCCTCGACCTGCTGGGCTCCAATCCTTCCGCCTCAGCCTTCCAAGTAGCCGGAATTACAGGCATATGCCACCACGCCCGGTTGATTTTTTGATTTATTGTGGAGATGAGGTCTTGCCTGCCCAGGCGGGTCTCGAACCCGCGGGCTCAGGCAATCCACTCACCTCAGCCTCCCAAAGGTACGGGATTACAGGCTGAGCCACCGAGCCCGGCCAGCCACTTGCTTTTTCAAAGACGGCACATCCCCAGTTATCCTTTCCCTGCGCCCTATATCATGTATCCCTTGTACTTCTGGATCATTCCATAAGCATACAAACAGGCTCAGAATCCTCAAACAGTAAAAACCAACACGTGTCCCCTGACTCCCACTGCCACCAAGCTCTCGCCTCATTTGTTAGCTCCCTCTGGCAAGAAAAGTTCTTCGACAAGTTCCCTACAATGTCTGTTTCTCTGTCCTCACTTCCTGTCTATCGTTCAACCTACTCGTCTGGCTTGTGCCTCTACCATCCACCAGGACTGATCTCTCAACAAATCACCACGTGTAGGAAAACCCAATGCAGCCAGGCTCGGGGGCTCAGCCTGTAATCCTGCGCCTTTGGGAGGCTGAGGTGAGTGAACTGCATGAGCCCGCGGGTTCGAGACCCGCCTGGGCAACTTGGCGAGACCTCATCTCTACAATAAATCAACAATTAGCCGGGCGTGGTAGCGCGCGCCTGTAGTTCCAGCTACTCGGAAGGCTGAGGGGGAAGGATCGCCGGAGCCCAGAGGTCGAGGCTGCGGTGGCCGGGAGCGGCCAGTGCACTCCAGTCTGGGCGACAGAGTGAGACTCCGACTCAAAAAATAAATAAATAAATAAAAACAAAAAGCATTTATGTGCTGATAATTTCCAAATTTCTGTCTCCTCCCCTGACCTCTCAACTGACCACCAACTCATACCCACATGCCAACTTGGTAGCTTCAAGTGAATGTGCAAATCGCAATCGAAGCCAGTTTCTTCTCGCCATTCCCTCCCTCAGGTGCTCGAGCCCAAACCAGCCTTCACCCTTCCCTTGATGTCAGACCCCAAATGGAGATGCTCTCTCCCAGACACCATCAACACTGCGTCCGAAACCTACCTGATTGCTTCCACTCTGCGTCATCTCCACCAGAGCCACCTAGTACAAGCCACTGTGTCTTGCTCCTGTTAATGGCGTTCTACCTAGGCGAGCCTGGGAAGCTCACCAGTCCCTCTACAATCCCTCCAGTTTTTAAAATGTAAAGCAGATCACAATACTCCACTGCTCCTGGAACGGATTCGAACTCTGTCCTAAGAGTCACGGCGTGATCTGGCTCCCGGGTGTCTCTCCACGTGCTCATCCCTCTGCCTCTGTGCCAGCCACACTCGGCCCCTCGGGTCCGAGCCCTGCTCCCCCAGCGCCCTCAGGAGCTCTGCAGTGCACCCCTGCCAGGAATCACCTTTTCCCAGCCAGCCCACTCTTCATGTCTTGACTCAAGTGACACATTTAACTATTTAACTCTTTACTTATTTAGAGGAAAAAGGGCAGCTCACTGCCATGTTCATTTAATTTTACATAAACACATTCTTTAAGGTTGAAGCAAATCTGACTGGTTTTCAATGTGAAAATAAAATATAAAAACTGTTCTTGGAGTTACTTCTAAACAGAACTTATCTCTAATCCTAACAGGAATTACTTAAAAAAAAAAAAAAAAAAAGGAAGAAAGAAAGAAAAGAAAAAGAGAATTGCTGTATTTTGTAATTCTTTTTTTTTTTTTGAGTTGGAGTCTCACTCTGTCGCCCAGACTAGAGTGCAGTGGCCGCTCCCGGCCACCGCAGCCTCGACCTGCTGGGCTCCAGCGATCCTTCCGCCTCAGCCTTCCAAGTAGCTGGAAGTACAGGCACGCGCTACCACGCCCGGCTAATTTTTTGATTTATTGTAGAGATGAGGTCTCGCCAAGTTGCCCAGGCCGGTCTCGAACCCATGGGCTCAGGCAATTCACGCACCTCAGCCTCCCAAAGGCGCAGGATTACAGGCTGAGTCACCGAGCCCGGCTATTTCTTTTTTTAATCTCGAGGTAAACACTGCAGCTGCAGTACTGCCAGTGAGCATCCTTGGGTTAAACACAGAAAGGGTTAAGGTTGCTCTCTATTTTTTGCCCTCCTTTATATCAGCATCTTCATTTCCTTTGAAGCGTGTCTCACACTGTAAGTATGTGGCTTACAGATTTGTTGTATTATCCACCCCTTTGACACCATGGAAGTTTCTTGAGAGCAGGACTGTGTCTCTGGCTCACTGCTGCACTCCTGTCACTGAGCACAGTACCCAGGGCTCATTAAATATCGGAGGAATGAATGATGAAACTAGAGTCTGGTCAGAACATTGAGTATAGTATGTAATCAACAGAAGCTGAATGAACACAACCAGTTAAGTTTTATCTGCATAACACAATTATCATTCAAGGACAGCTCAACTGCACCAACTGGAGACCTCACCCAACCATGCCACACAGAGGTCGGCACTCCTGAATCAGCTTCCACAGCACCCTGCGCAGATGCTAACTGTTCCTGAATCTGTAATTCAGTAACCCTTAGGTGGCTCCCCATTAGACTGAGTTCCAACAGCAGACTGATTTTATTTATTTTCTACCCCAGGGACAGCAGCAGACACTAAACAAATATTTGAACAAAGTCTAAAGCTGGCTGGCAACTTGGAAAAACAAAACTTAACCTAGAGCAAAATGGGATAATGAGCTAAAGAGTAACTGAGGGCCTACTTTACATGGAAGGACCAAAAAGGTTCTCTGGAGAGGTCAAAGGAGCTAAGGAGGGAATATTAAAGGGTCAGTCTTGGAAAAATCCAGAAAAAGAATATTTGAGGTAGAGAACACACCGGACAAACGCTGTGAATTAGAAACAAACTTGGCATATGCTCAGTACAGAAAGAAGACTCATGTGGCAAAAGCAGAATGAGCCCAGCAAGAGCTGAGTCCACAGAAGTGAGTGGGGCCAGAGAGCCATGACAAGGAGGCTGGGTTCTGGCCTGGCAAGCCGTGAAGGCTTTTATGTCATCAAAGACCACTTGGGCTACAGGGTAAAGAACTGAGTGTGGGAGGACAGAGGAGAAAAAGGGGCTGGGCATGGTGGGTCATGCCTGTAATCCCAGCACTCTGGGAGGCAGAGAAGCGAGAATCATGAGACCAGGAATTTGAGGTCAGCCAGGACAACAAAGCAAGACTGTTTCTACAAGAAACAGAAAAATTAGCTGGGCATGGTGGTACACCTGCAGTCCCAGCTACTCAGGAGGCTGAGGCGGGAGGATTGCCTGAGTCCAGGAGGTTGAGGCCACGGTGATCCGTGATCGAGCCACAGAACTGCAGCCTGGGTGACAGACTGTGACCCCAACTCAAAAAAAGAAAAAGGAAGGAGACCAGACAAGAGCCCAATGGCCAGTGCTAGAAAGGGCACAGGGGGAGGCACCAGTAGATGAATTTGGAATACAGTTTAGGGGTAGAACCAGTCAGTGGACACGGACTCTTGTTTGACAAATGACCTGCCCAAAGTCACAGAGCCAGGAAAGGACAGAACTGGGATTCCAAGTCTAGGCGGTCTGACTCCAAAGCCTCTATGTGATGATAAATATTATACTATATATATATTACTTAAAGTAGTGATAAATATCAACTTCATAAGCTTGTGAAGAAAAAAATGTAAAAAAAAGTTTTTTTTTTAATTAAAATTTAGGGATTGGGGCGAATTCTCTTTCCAAAGTACTACTTGTTTTTTAGACACAAATTATTTGCTAATGACATCCTT